ACAGAGTGTTCTCTAGCCGTATAACTAATACGCCAAACGCCAGAATCAAGAAAGAAACCCATTTAGTTCATGGTACATTCGCTACAAAAGACAGTCAGTTCACTCTGAAAGCCCTTTCCTGATGCCATCCTTCTTGTACACATATTGAGACTAACGGCGAGTAAACAAGCAACACAGCCAAAGCCAGCCAGGAGCGCTCGGCCAGGCAGAGCAAAGGACAGTGTCCTGCAGCTTAGGAGAAAAACAGGGCAGGTTTGCAGACCCTGGGCGCAGGATCGCTTTGCTAGGAGCAGAAATCCATCCCGCAGAGGCTAGACTGTGTTTATGTTCTGCGTAGCTTCCATGATTCCTGGCATCTGTCCTCCCTTAGTAAATAGTAAAGACTTTTCAAAGGTTATATCCTGTCCCAGACTGAGAGGAGCAGAAGGCTTCTCTCTATGCTGTGCAGCCAGCTGAAGGGGTATCTGTGATGAGGCCAGACGGACAGAGGAAGCAGTGAGGCACAAGGATCTCAAGGTGAAACCCAGAGAGATGAATTCAGGAAATCTTGGCCTGACCCTCAGGATGTCCCATCCCAATGCCAACCTTAGACGCCTGAGACTTCCTGAGCATTGAGAGCAAGTATTCCCTCAAAACTGACTTCCCACTCCCTACAGAATTAAAGGCAGAATTCTCAGGACAGGATCTTTTCTCAGACTGGACTATACCTACTTCATCTCCTACCAAGACCTGAAAAGCACACAGGCCGTTTTACCTCCAGTCATGAAGGATGTGTTGGCACCCTCAGAGTGGCAAGCGCTACCACTCTGCACGCTGCTTTTTGGGGAGCAGACAGTCCTCCCCATCTGCCACTTCCTCCTGCTCCTTCATCAGCCCTGTGACAAGCCGCTCAAAGCTCCCCTTACTCCTAGGTTGAAGGACTCCCTTACTGCCTCTACACCACCTGGCTTTTGACACACGTGGCATCTCCCACATGGCCTTGTGATTATCTGTATGCTTTTCTTGTTCCCCCAATAAATAATGAGCTTATTACGAACAAGACCATCTAAGTGCTCTTCGCAACTCCATCACCTAACAAGCTATGTTTGTCTGCTCAGGCTGCGGTAACAAAATGCCCCACTCTGTGGGTTAGACAGAAATTAAGTCCCTCACAGTTTTGAAGGACAGAAGTTAAAGATCATGCGGTTGGTGGTTTGGTTTCTCCAGAGACATCCCTCCTTGGCTTGCAAATGACCACCTGCTGTGTCTTCCAGGGCCTTGCCTCTGTGTGCGTGCATCCCTGATATCTCTCTGTGGACTCAAGTCTCCTCACCTTTTAAAGATACCAGTCTATCTGCACATTCAGTGAAGGACTAGGGGTTAGGATTTCAGTCTATGAACTCGAAGGGCAGGGTGGGGGATTTGGCTGGTAACGTAAGTCTTAGGCACACGGCTGAGTAGCATAAGTCTTACAATGCACTGAATCAATTCATCTTTGCCTGAAAAGGTCTTGACTGAAAAGAGGTTATTTTCAGATTCATTCAAGCTCGGCTTTGTTTGCACTTGCTTTGTTTGGCTGTTTGTTTATTTTCACGAGCACCTGCTATTTACAAAGCACTATGTTCAGACCAAGACAAGTGCACGCAGGAAGCAAATGCACAATCTCTATTCTCTGAGAATTTACCCTATAGGTAAGCTGTTTTTCTAACTGCTTTTGCAAAAGCACAAATCTGAGAAAGGGAACATGCAGACACTTAATTTAAGGCTTCAAAATAACTATGGTGGCCATTACATATAAAGTTTCATAAGTTAAGTCAACTGACTATTCTCAGAGTACTAGGAAAAAGACTACATGGCAGGGGAAAGAAAAGGCTCAGCATCAGAAGAAACTGCAGACTGAAGAATATAACAGAAATTAAAGTTACATCCAGGCAAGCAAGATACACACTGGTGCTCAAGGAGCTTAGGGCCTGGAAGAATGAAACAGAGAAACAAATAAATGCATCAACTACTTCCTCTTGTACAAGAAATATATGAACTAGATGGGTACAAAGCAGGGAATGCTGGGAGAATGAGATAACTGAGTCTTAGCCCCACCTCACTCAACCAAAGACCAAAGGCAGAGGCCTGAGAAGTATGACACACCATTGGCAAAGCCACTCTAAATGGAGACGACCACCTTAAAGCACAGACCTTCGCTCAAACAACAAGTATGTATCTAGGTGGCAACTAGAAAAAAAGATGCATGAAGAGTAACGTATGAGCTGGGCGTGGTGGCACGCATCTGTAGTCCCAGCACTCAGGAGGCTGAGGCAGGAGGATCACAGTGAGTTTGAGGCCAGGCTGGGCTACATCGGTAAGTTCAAGGATTCAAGGCCAGCCTTAACTATATAGTGAGACCCTTTCTCAAAAAGAAAAAACAAGAAAAAAACAAAGGATAATATGGTATAAAGAAAAAATGGCAATGTCATGGACCAGCTGGGGTTTGGAGGTAGGAGGTTAAAGGCAGAATTGACGGGAGAGTACCGAAAATAAAAGTAAGAAATTTTTCCTTCTGGTTCTACTTTTTAATCAATGCAAATAATATCATTTGCTTGCTTATTGTGGGCCTATAAGTAAAAGTATGTTCTTGATAGAGCTGAAAATATATTTTCTACCTTTTCTTCCTGTCTCTAGAAAGAGTCATGCCTTGTCAACAGCAGCAGCCTACAGCAATGACAGAAATCAAAAACAATGACTAATCTAATAAAAATTTAAATTTGACTTAGCTATGCATATCAATTCATTGCCAACAAATTTATCACTCAACTTATTACTATAGCTGATTCTTTAAAAACATCTTTTATTGTTTGTCTCTATTTCTGATCATTACCTTGAGACAGCTTCTTAGAAGGGAAATTATCAGGCCAAGGGGCATGAATACTTTTAAGACTTTTGGTATATATTAGCACAGTCTACTATGAAGACTTGGGCTGGGGATTTAGCTCCGAGGTACAGCATCTACCTGACAAATACAAGGTCCTGAGTTCGATTCCTGGTACTCCAAAAAAAAAAAAAATACTATGAAAACATCATTGACCACATCAACCACAGACCACCAAGTAAAACTCTGAAGGAACTGTTTCTCTAAATAATTCCCAAAGAAGAAATCCAATAATGGGTTATAAATAGACTTTAGACTTTTAGGGGGGTTGACCAAAAAGAAGCCAGAATAAATCTTTGTCCACAGGCCATTCAGGCTAATAAGTGCATTTGTATGTATAAGCAAATACAAGCACAAATAAAGAACAAAAGAAACGTGGCAGAGCTCATAGTTTGTGAATAAGATAGCAAGAACAAAATCATAAGATGATAATCTACCTGTAAAAAGGAAAATACAATTTATTTTCTATCTCCTGTATGTTCATCCCTCACTCTATACAGTAATAGTTTTCAGTTGTGATATTCACATGTTCACATTCAAGGAAAACCTAATATTTTTAAATAAAGATCAACACATAGTTGCTCAGGTAGATCAGGTTAGTGTTCTATTTCAGCAATTTAGCATTTTGGACTGTACTGCTTTCACCTATTTTCATTAAGCAGTAACTATTTAAGAAATTACCCCAGTTCTTCTTCAAAAGTCAAAGGACTTTTGAAGTCAGCTACAAAGTTGCATGATAACCACATTTGAAGCTACTAAAAATTAAATCTCCTTTAAAACACGCTCTTTTTAGCCAGGGGTGGTGATACACGCTTGTAATCTCCGCAGTTTCGGAAGCTGAGGCAAGAGGATCACAAGTTCAAAGACAGACTGGGCAATTTAGGTAGAATGGGTCTCAAAATTAAAAATTAATTAATTAGTTAATTAAAAGGCCTGAGGATATAGCCCAGTGCGAAGGCTCTGGATTCAGTCCCCAGTACTCCAATAAATTAGTAACCCAATAAATAAGCAAGCAAGCTGTTTTTACAGTCACTGCTGCCTGGACGTATTCGATTCATTCTATGTATCACCAGTTACCAGGACAGTCTCAAACACTTGCACCTTTCCAAAGGAGAACGTGGCCCCTGGGAGCTCAAGCCTACTAGAGAAGACAACCTGTGCGTTTTACTGCCATTTTTGGAACCCCTGAGACGTGGTTCTTTCCTCCTTGACACAGCCAAGAAACGAACTTCCTCCATCCTGACTGTCAGCAGAAACTTTTCAGATTTCACATAACTGAGCAGGAAGTTTGGCATCTGAAACATTTCCCTTCCGACCAGAGGAACACAGCGATGGAAGGAGAAGTTCAGAGGACTGGAGTGAGACTGCTCCTGGTTTTTTAAGGATGCCTTCCCAGGCGTCGGGGTAGCCAGGAGCCAATCCCGGGATTCTTTGTCTTCTCAGCAGCGAACAGGGAAAACGTCAGCGTTTGAGTGATGTCCGGAAAGTCACTCCCGCTCAGTTTTACCCCTACTCCCCGAAAGTGAATGCAACGTTTCCAAGGCCGGCTTCTACCGAGTCAGGCTGAAATCTGGAAGCACAGCTCATACCGAGTTCCACGAAAGCCGATGCGGGTCGGCGCGAGTCTCACCCACCGCCCTCGGGGACCCGCGCACACAGGGGACCAGGCCCTGGGCAGGGGGCAGAGTTACCCCGGGAGGAGGGCGACTGCGGGGCTAGGTCGGGGCTGGCGCGCATGTGGCTTTAATCCCCAACAGCTGCTGGAGATCACAACCCTGCCGCTCCTCCTGCACGCCTCCCGCCCACGCTTCGAGCATGGTGAGGACCGAAGGGATTTCACTGGCGCGTTCCCTGAACAAAACTTCAGCGCCAATGGATGCAACAGTGTTGTTAAGTGTATGGACATGCATGTAGCCGGCCGGGTCCTTGTTCACCACGACAACGCTGTGAAACCAAATACCGGGAGAGAGGGGAGCGAGGGACCCGACGCAGCGCTAGAGGGGCGAGCAGAGGCGCGGGCAGCAGGGGCGCCTCCCCGCACCCCACTCCGCCCCGGCCCCGCGCGCTCCCCGCGGCCCGGGCGCGCAGAGCGGCTCACCGACACCAGGAACTCCAGCGTGCCCACGTAGTCCCGCTCGGTCTTCTGCAGCTCGCTGAGCACGCACACGCGCAGGCGGAGCTGCCTGTCCGCGTCCCGGGCGCCGTCGGCGCGGCCGTCCTCGCTCATGGTGCGGCGGGCGGCGGAGCGTGCGGG